AAGCTGAAATCATCTCTTTTGTCGTAAAGTTTTGTTTTCAACCGACCCTCATTGTCAATTTCTAGATGTAAGTCAAGATATGAGGCAGACTTAACTGTATCTGTAGTATCCTTTATCTCTAGTTCGATGAGAAAGATTCGTTCAACATAGTCACCAAATTTTGTATTATTTAGTGAGAGAACATCATTTATATAGCGGAACGTAGAGTTAAAGGATATTGCTAACTTCTTATCTTTCTTCCTAAGAAGTTCCTGTATGAAGTCAGCCTCATAATAATAAAGAAACAAGTCGGCAAGAAGAGGGCACAATTGGTTCCCATTGGAATTCCGACAGTCTGTTGAAAAACACGTCCTCCAAACGTAACAAATATGTTGTCAATCAAGAAATCAAGCATCTTGAAAATGTCAGTTTCAGAGAATTTTTTGTTTGAATCAGAATGATTCTTTACAAAGTAGGATTTATCCCTCCCCAAGACAAGATACTTTGTATCTACGTTCGCCATTCTCTTTAATGAAACAAAGTAATACCAACTCTTTCAATTTGTCTTTTAGTTTGGAATGGGGAATACTTGTGTAAAGTGTAGAAAAGTCAAATGTTTTAATACTATTGCAAGATGAGAGAGTCTTAGATTGTATGTACTCTAAAAGATCTTTGGAATTTTTTAGTATCCACATCTGATTCACTAAAAAATGTGGTGCACACTGAATAACCCGCGTAGTGAGTTATTTAAAAAATATTACAGTCAGTCCTTATAATTTAATTCTATATTCCATTTTTAAGGAGTAAATCATGACAAAAACGTTGATGACGTCACGGTCACATGACAAAATTATGTGTATGAGCTGATAGACAAAACACTTTCAGCCCAATCAGAAGACGTCTTACATCCAAAATTAAATCATAAAGAGATATTGTTAGAATATCAATTTTTCGTCGTCTTACGTTTTGTTGCCATGGTGTTGTCTATTTATTTTCGACATACGAGTATTGAATATTCAGCCTTTTTTTAAGGAATTTGATTTGTGTATTTTAGTGTTAACCTACTTTAAAAGAAAATTATAACATCACTTAACTATTTCCCCGAATGTGACCTACCGAATTAGACTTATTACCGGGTTTGTACTAAAACGAGCAACACGACGGATCACCCCCAGTTGTGGTGGGGTTCGTGATGCTCAGTCTTTAGTTTTCTATGTTGTGTTTTGTGTACTATTGTTTGTCTGCTTGTCTATTTCTTTTTCTTTTTTAGCCATGGCTTTGTCAGTTTATTTTCGACTTATGAGTTGAATGTCCCTTTGGTATCTTTTGTCTCTCTTTTAAAGTGTATTACATTTTAGAAAAATAGGGGTGCTATTGTAGGCATCTATAATACTAAAATAACGAGGTTCAATTTGTTAGCCGGCATGACGTAAACACGACGATTCAAAGAATTCAATTTTATATATTACTAATATAAGACAATGGTGTAGATTAAAAATTACACCATTCCAGGCCCTTGTGTTTTCCACATAATTTAATATAACCAATAAATAACAAGTTCCGGGTCGAATCCGATACCGATCGATACAATTAGTATGTCACATATAGTTTCCTTTTTGTATTCATGTATGTATGTTCTGTATCTTCCTCCTTAAATTGGAGCACCACCATGGGTTATGGTGTAAAGGAGTACATTTAACACACTGTATCGGTACAGGTTTAAAAAGTTAGAATTTGCCTACCCAGTTTCCAAGCCTGACCTTGACGGGTCTTACCAACAGAAATGACAGAAATTTATTCTGTAGTAAGAAAACCAGGACGGGTTCAAACAGAAACATTTTGATATCAGAGAAAACTATGCACATTTAAATCAGCATGAATTTATCAGATAACAATACGAATACTAAAAACAGGCTAAAATGAGGTGTAGGTACTTTAATTCAGTCACAGACCTGCGATGTTTCGGGTGTGTTCTAGTATACTATATCCTATCACATGGAATGTGTAAAATATGAAAAATAAATAAATTTGTTAATTTAAGTTCTGTCCCCGATAGTTGCACTTGCCAACTAGTCAGCTTTTTTGTACTGACATATAATATTATTTATCTAAATTAACTGCATACTAATATTTTAAAATCATTAGTAAAATAAGGGTCCCCCCAAAGAGAATATAAGGCCTTAGCAAGATTTATTACAACCTTTTGGAATTTTTGGTTTTCGTTGCTCGTCAACTTCTTTATCTCTTTGGTTTTCCATCTGTTTTGATTCGAGCACCACCTATTGGTCTTACATATAAAATAAACTCTCATCAAGCGTATTAAATTAATAGCTTGGCAACTTTAACTTCGTACTTTATTTGACCTGTTAACGTTTTTGATTCGAGCGTCACTGGTGAGTCTTATGTAGACGAAACGCGCGTCTGACGTACAGAAATTAAAAGCCTGATATCTTTTATTAGAATTTTTTGTTGTTTTTGTGCTTATGCCGATCTGATAAGCCAAGCCATATCCAACTGATTTTTACAGTTTGTTATTATGATTGCTGTTACACCATTGTCCCAGGTTAGGGGGATGTTGAGGACTCACAAACATGATGAACCCCGCCACATTCTTTATGTGCCTGTCCCTAGTCATGAGCCTGTATGTTATATGTTGTTGTTGGTTGCTGTCTGTCATAATTGTTTTTCGCTGATTGTTAAAACGTAAATCACACCATTGCTTTTCTCGGTTAAATGGTTTTACATTTTTGTCATATCGGGGTCTTTTGAAGCTCACTTTACGGTTTGGTTTTGCTCAATGTTGAAAGCCGAACGATGACCTACAGTTGATAACACCCACGTCATTTGGTGGATACTCGTCTAAATGACAATCTTCCCACATCTCTATCTGTTTATATATATAGGGATAGTTGAAGGTTTCTGCGTACGACATGTAAAAGTGGATAAATACCACGAGATTATGTGCCCTACCTAGTCTGGCTATCTGGACCATGAAATATTCGTCGTTGCCTGTCTTTGTTTGAATCTTTTTGGAGGAGTCAGCTGAATATCATTCAAATTATCAAATCATTATTTTGTGATTAAACAGATCACAATCATAAAGTGTACACAACTTTAGTGTCTCGACTTGTGTTCACTGAAAGTTAACGACCTAGAAAAATCATGAATAGAGTTGCGTAACTTGCATTATAACCTCGTGTAAGCTATGAGGAATAATGGCAGATCACACTCCTAACATAAGCGACTTATTTGAACCCTGTTTGGACTAATAGAAATAGTTGAAAAAATTTGAACTTTAGTACTTTTTGTTATATAATTGATTTGAATAAGGTGTTTTTCTACCGATTCGGAATAATCTCTGTTGTGAGTGATGTGTCTGGTACTATCAATATTTGTAATGCATATATGATGTGTACGTTATTAATTGCTTGTTATTACTTTTTTATTAACTCATAAGTTGAAAACAAACTGACGACGCTATGATAAAAAACGAAAAACGACCAAAAGACAAAAAACACTATAAAAACACAATATAGAAAACATAAGACTGAACACACGAACCTCATCGTGAACCGGAGTTGATCTCGGATTCTCCGGAAGGGTAAGTAGATCCTGCTCGACATGTGGCATCTGTCATGTTGCTCATTTAATACAAGCCCGGTGATAAATTCAATTCGGTAGGTCACATTCGGCGAAAAGACAACGGGATTGTGGATACGACAAAGGGATCATATCCGTAGTCATCTGCGAAACAGATATTCCATAATGGTCAACCAACTTGTGATGGCGTCTGTAAAATGATCAAAGAGATGATTTCAACTTTACGACTTGGAACTTTTGGTTTAATAGCTTTCTTGTGAGCAGCAGCTCTCTATAAAAAGGAAATCATCATGATAGGAAATGCGAGCTGTGGAATATCGTTTCTACTGGGATATATACACTCTATGTGCTGGTGCTGCTGGAATGTTTCAACATAGAAATAGAAAATTTAAAATTTGGAAACTGAAATCATCTTTTTTGTCGTTTTTTTTTGTTCTCAACAAACCCTCATTGTCAATTGCTAGATGTAAGTCAATATGAGGTAGACTTAAGTTAATCTGTTGTTTCCTTTATTTCAAGTTCGATAGGATAGATGTGTTCAACATAGTCACTAAACTTTGAATTATTTAGTGAGGGGCATCATCCATTTAGCAAAAAGTGAAAATAAAGGATAATGCAAGATTCTTTTCATTCTTCCTAAGAAGTTCCTGTATGAAGTCAGCCTCATGTGAATAAAAGAAAAGGCCGGCAAGAAGAGCAGCACTGTTTGATGAAATGCCGATTGTTTATTGAAAAACACTTCCTCCAAACGTAGTAAATATGTTGTCAATTTAAAAATCAAGTATCTTGATAATGTCAGTTTCAAAGATTTTGTTTTAATCAGTGTTTTTTTTTTTTACAAAGCACGATTTATCCCTCCTTAAAACAAGGTACTTGTATCAACGTTAGTCATTCTTTTTTATGAAACAAAGCATAACCAATTCTTTCATATTTTCTTTTAGTTTGGAATGGGGAATACTTGTGTAAAGTGCAGAAAAGTCAAATGTTTCAATACTATTGCAAGAGGAAAGAGACTTAGATTGTATGTTCTCTCATGCCGATCCTAGAGTAGGTAGTTTCCCATATAACTTTAAAGGCCGGCTTTTATTACTGATAAAATTGATGTTGATAATTTAGAAATAGGTGTCGTAGATCACCTGGTATACCCAGTAATATAAAGTGTAAGGGCATTTAATAATTTCGGTACTAGTATCCAATACAGTTAAGGAAGATCAAGTTCGTCAGCTTTGGGTGAAATTCCAAAGGTACATTGGACAGACCTATGATCATTCAGGATTCATGGTCATTGTGAAGGTATATGTTGAGTTTCTAAGTGAATTGGCAATACCTAAATCATTTATGAGTAGTTTATATAATTTTGATTTACACACAAAAACAATGCTGTCTGTGTTTTTATCTGCGGGGGCAACAACATATATGTCATGGAGGTAGGTCAGGCGCTTTGCAATAATTGGGTCTTGAAAGCATGTTTATTCAAAGACCTATTAAGTTTTTAAATCTAATTTGTATCAACGACCTCACAGCTATAACCCATTCAAAGGGCAAAGAGTATCAACGTCTTCTTTTTCGCGTTTAGCCATTTGCCTGACATATTCATCGACTGAATCCATCAGTTTTTTGAAGTTGTGTTTCCATTTGATGGATTTAGACTCACGATATTTCGGGTCCTTTGATCTTACATTTCGTAGAGAAGTGTTATTGACAATGTTCATGTCATCAGTAATAACGTGGCTAGCCAGATTATATATGTATGGTGAGCTAGCACAGGTTCAACATGTGCAATCAGAAGGTTTACACTTGAAGGAAGTCAATATTGAGATCCTCAAACATGTATTTGTATTTGAAAATTTTAAATGCAATTGAATTGGTATAGGTATAAGAAATGATAAGTACTGACTAATCTTTAAAAAAGGAAGGTATTTTCGAGTGAACTGATTTATCATGAATGATGTTGGCCAAGTTAATGGCATCGAGAACTTTGTTGGCAAAGCAAAGATTTTTGAAATGATCTTTTCTCTTTTTCAACTTTTCCCATGCGAAAAGGTCTGTTACTGGCAATATCCGAGATGATAGCTATAAGTTTGTATTAGTTTGAATGGGGGTTTGTTACAGTGGTTTCTAAAAATGCGTTGTACAGATAATGAAGTTTTGAAAGGGGTAGTGATGAAACCCAAAGGCTTTTGTATAAATGCAGCAAGTCATTAATTGTGGAGACATCATGGAGAGTATGTGATGTGTAATGAAGTTGACCGAGCTACAGGAAGGACTAGATAGAATACCTATACTATCAATGTTGTCATTGCAATCATATGGTGTCGCAGATCCCAATTTTTGAATCCAGTAGTCTTCCGTTTGTCTACGAAGTTGTTGCAAGGTTTGGATTGTTAGTCATAGGGTATATTTTTTCGATGATGCTAACTTGCATAGAAAGGATTGAATGATCAAATAAAGTTTAAGAGTATTGAGGACCAAAAAACAAATCAGGCAGGTTTTGCCAAATAAAGCTAAAGTAATCTAATTCCTGGTCTAGAAAATCTTTAGTATTTCGAAAAAATCAAAGTTTTGTAAACTGTTGATTTATAATTATGACCATATCAATGATTATTCATGTAAACAAAGAAGTGCTGAGTACTAGGCTTGTCAATAATAGTCAATAAATCATAATGCCAAAATTCTTACTCTACTTAAAACACTCTTACTTTTCCCTGTAGCTCAATTACCTTAATAAAACATTGGTCATCGTTGTTGTTTTCTATTGTTCCTTTGCAGTTTATCCAAAATTCACATGTACTGAGCATATAGCATTAGAATATCTTCAATGTTAGAATTTTGACAGCCATATCGCATACACGTCTTTTTCCAAGAAATAAATGTTATTCATGTTATTGAACAATTATTATCAAAACCTAAGCAACACATACTCACGTATAATATTTGTTATGGAATATAAAATATGAGGCGGAAGATACCAAAGGGAGATAAAAAACTCATAAATCTAAGAAAGGACTACAAAACCATAGCAAAAACAAATGACGATTAGACAATCAACAGTCAATAACACACTACAGAGAAAAAAACTAAAAACTGAGCAACAATAAGGAAAAAGTCGGCAAATTTAAGAGAACATTTGGTTCCCATAGGACTGCTGATTGTCAGTTGAAAAACACTTCATTCCCAAACGCAAATAATTTGTCGTCAATGAAAAAATTCTTGATGTCAGTTTCAGAAAAAAATTGTTTGAATCAGGCTGGTTTTTTATGATTGATCAAAAACAAGATATTTATATTTACGTGGGTCATTCTTTTTCTTATAAAACAAAGTTATATTAATTATTTCAGTCTGTCTTATAAAAATATAATACTGATTTTAGTGCTTGATTATGGTGATCTTTATGGAGCATGGTGGATAATGCCCCCTCTTGAATGGCCGGCAATTTATGTTTCAGTATATTTTACATTCATTATACTGCCTCCTATTGATTTTAAATGCTTTTCAATTACGTATTGGATTTGTTCGATAATTTGGAGTGTTTGATGTAGAAGCCAAACACATTTTATGTTTCAATACTTATCTCACGAAACAATTTCAACGGAAAAGAGATATTTTCGTCTAGTTTTTGTATAATTGTTTCTCATTTTTTAGCCTATTTAAGCTAGTCACCAAATTAAGGGTTAAATACGATACAATTATTGTAAAACTATGAAAAACGTACAATGGCGTACAAGGGCAGTAAGTAAGTAAGTATGAGAGAAGTAGTGACTGAAAGTCGTAGACAATTTTGTTTGTTTGTACAAACTCATACAAGAAAACCATATTTTTATTATGATCCGATTTTCCATTTTGGGCGCTCAATTGTTTTTTGTCCCTTTCAAGTAATCATTTATAAAAATTCTTCCGAAAGTTTAAGGACGCCTTCACGAGCTGGTTGACCATTATAAAATATTTGTGTCACATATGATTGCATTCATGTAGCAATTCTTGAAACGACAATCCCGTCCTCTTTTCCTCGATCGGGACATTATCTAATGAAATATATCAACATGACGGGTGCTGCATTTTGGGAAGGATCTGTTTACCATTCCAGAATACCTAAGATCATCTAGGGGTTTGGCGGGGTCCGTGTTGCGTAGTCTTTAGCTTTCTGTGTAATTGTTTGTAGACTTATTTGTTCGTTTTTTGCCATGACGTTGTCGGCTTCTCTTCGTTGTGAATGTTCCATTTGTATCTTACGCCTCTTTTTGAGAATTTTTACTTTTTATAACGGTAAATCAAGCATTAGCTACTGAACTGATGGTTCCCACAGGGGCTTATAATTTAACAATGGCGTATTGTATAATCGTAGCTTAGCAGTATAAGTGCACGAATCTAAACACGTTTTAAAATATTGACTAAATACTATGTATGTCCATTGCATATGGTTATGACACTAAAATTACAACTCGGAAAATTTGTCTACAAAGGGCATAAAGTGTTTTCATTTGTCATGTCTTTTCATTTAAGAATAGTTAAGTTTTTGAAGGATGAATGCTAGTATTAGTTCATTTTAATATTTCTTAAGAAGGAATAAATAAAATGCCGTTGATCAAATACAGTAACGGGATAAAGTTAAACATTTAGTACATACTTGTCAGAAATTAATATTTTAAGGCGATTTGGAGTAAGTTTCTAAATATACCAACGCATATTAAACATGTTAAATAAAGGAAACAGTAGTATACTGCTGTTCAGTAGTCACAAATCGATTAAGCAAAAAATAATCCGGGTCACAAACCAAAACCGAGGGAAACACATCAACTATAAGAGAAAAACAACGGAACAACAGAAACACGGCTACAAAAACAAACGCCAACATACATAGAAACGGACTATTTTATAATAACTGCCATATTCCTGACTTGGTACAGGACATTTTAAGAAAAAATGGTGGGTTGAACCTGGTTTTATGGCTAGCCAAACCTCCCGCTTATATCAGATAGCATCACATTGTCATAACTGATAAATAAAGAAGCGCCCAGACTGTATATAAAAAATCACCGATTCTAAACAAGTTGTGGATGAAATATATAATACCAATTTAACAGCAGCAGTGACTTTGAAATATTCTTGAATAGCCGATTTGAACTACAAATGTTAGCCGACTCCATCTAATCTTGAGCAAAATCCCAGTTAAATTCAATGATATTATTCGTCGAGCATCGACAAAGGCATTTGAAATTCATCTATCTTTAAAGATATTTGTTCTTTTTTTTTATCTTTTTTCTTCGTGTGTGTGTTCTTTTTTTTTTTTTTTTGTAACAATAAAATGTTGATATCGAAATTAATCAAAAATTAACAGACTGTAGCTATATAAATAACTCTATATATTCGATGTTGTTTTAAATAAACCAAGCTAGTTTCTTTCTATCCACAGCAACTATTCTATGTTATTATGTTTTGATCCAACTAACATGATTAATTAGACAATTTCGAAAACCATGAGAGCAAAAGCTAACTAAGATCACAATTCCTGAGTGCTGCTGAAGATCAACTTGGCCGGAATTCGTAATAGAAAGAGATACATAGTAAATAAGAAAAACCAGATTAAAAAGAGAAAAAAGTATATATTAAAATATCATTTTAATTTTCAATGTACAATAAAACAAATACCGATATATATATACAACTCGTCTAAACATCAGCCCAACAATGTTAGATCTGTTAATTTGCTTTCGCAAATTTTTTGTTCTTCCCTCGCCGGGATTTGAACTCATGCTACTGAGATATCGTGACACCAAATCGCCTGCACTGTATATATGTATGGCCTACGTTAAAAAAGCGCTGACAACATCACGACTAAGAGATAAAAACCAAAAGACAGACAACTTCCCGGCCAAGAGAAAAAAAAATACAAAAAGGCAACATAGAAAAAGATGGAGCATTACTAACTCCACCAAACTAGTGAGGAAATCATGTTTCCCGGAAGGGTAAGCAATTCACTCGTTACACCGGTCCTTAAAAGTACACAAAGAATGAAAATTTCAGTTGAGCCCGTGCGGTTAGTCGCATGCGGTCATGTCATGAATGAAGAAAGAAAAAACGCGAAATTGTGGCAATGACAAATGGATGATACTTATGATCTACTATAACAGAAACAGTCTTTAACTGTCAACCAAAGACGACATCAGAAAAATGTAACTAATCCTTATCAAAATAGAGGCAAACAGTAGTTTACTGATGGACGTCTAAACCTTTTAAATCTCTTTCAGGACATACAGATCAATGTTTACGAAGAAAACCTGAGGAAACTATATGAACACCAAAAGGAGCAAGACAGGGTGCGTGAACAAGTTAAGTGTCTCTTGCTCTGCATGCATCCCCCGCCATGCGAATCAACACTTAGTCGGATGTTAACAATAAACTATAAACTATAGAAAAATAATGACTGAGCAACAAGGACTCCATCAGAAATCGGTGGTGTTATAGAATGGTTAGCAGATCTTGCTTCAAATGAGACACATGAAGTGACATACGACTAAGTGTTGATTCGCATGGCGGGGGATGCATGCAGAGCAAGAGACACTTAACCTGAATTGTTTTATATTTTTCATGTAGGGGCCTTTTATAGCCGACTATACTATATGGGTTTTTCTCATTGGTGAAGGCCGTACGGTTGCCTATAATTGCTTACATCTACTTCATTTGAACTTAGGTGGATATTTGTCTCATTGGCAATAATACGACATCTCCTTATTTTTATATAGTAGAAAATAAAGTTTCAAACAATGTCTTGTCATTAACTTCAAATACGAAGTTCAAAGTGTTTTATGCGATACCCATCAATTAACGAAGAATTATAGATTAACTTCTAACACTAGTATATACTACATGAGTAGTATATACACATATACAAGCAAGTAAACTGTGGTAACATCAATGTTCTGAAAAAATATCATTCTCTACACCTTTTTCTTAGAACTGTTCATCATTGTCTTTGATATCGATAACCGGAGTGGTTTATTCAAACAATATATCGTGAAATGTTTGCCAAAAAGACAAATTCTACCAAGCAAGTAATAGGCATTTTACCGAACACTTACCCTACGTAGCATTTCACTGTCAATTTGAATACAAAGTACAAGATCGTGAAATGGTAGCATTTAGAACTACCCTAATGACAAGATCACAAACAAATCACGAAATGTTAATTGTTTTGAATCTATTTACAACACATAGACCGATCACTTTGAACGATTTTCCTACCTCAAAGTACTTTCTTTTTTTTAAATCAAAATCTGCATGATTGCTAAAATGCTGTACGTGACTGGAAATGATAAAAGCATACTGGGATTGATTTTGTACCGCAAAGTGGTCCAATGAATGCATGCTACTGAATGAATCAGTAATTTGAAATTTAGAAAGGAAGCGTTTAGGAATAAAGTTCTTATATGACGCTCTTCTCTTAAGAGGTATTTCTAATGAAACATTAGGTGTGTTTTGTTTTCTAGAACGTTATGTGACAGGAATAAGAAGCTGTTTCCATTCGTTGCGATGGGTGATATAGTCGAGCATTTGGTTTTGTCAGGTTTTATGAACTTTTTCTTAATTTACCTGTTAGTTCATTATTTTTGTTAATACTTTTATGGTTCATTAAATCAAAAAGATTGAATTTCTACCTGTTTTATAGGTCCATCTCAGTCATGCAGATTTTGATGAAATTTGAAAAAAAATAGGCAGGACAGGAGTTTTGAGTAAAAAAAAAGGCAGGATGAGATGATTTGCCAAAAAAAAGGCAGGATGACAATTGATGTAAAAAAAAAAGTTAGGATAAACTAATATAAAAGGCAGGACCGAATAGAGTGAAAAATAAAAAGGCAGGACCGAATAGAGGGAAAAATAAAAAGGAAGGACAAAATTTTTCATCCTAGAACCCCCCCCCCCCCCCCCCATAAAAATCAAAAGGTAGCTCCCTTATTTCTTAAATGTTTGCTTATTCCTGGTGAGAAAACTTCACTTTGTTATCATTAAAATGATCCCCTTATGTATATTCGTCTTTCTTTTGGCAAAAATAGACAAATTTAAAATCATTTTGCATAAAGGAACATACGTCGCCTCCATACATCATAAAGGAACATACGTCGCCTCCATACATTTCTGTCAGAGAATATAGAAACACAACTCCTGTATTGATGTCTTTATATATTTTTTGTTTCAGCTTCGGCATTATTACGAAAATGTAGAAACGGTCTTTCATTTCATGGCCATTTAATTCATGAACAGGAAATTTTCTAAATGAAAACTGCGGATTATCATTTAAAACGATGCTTTAACATTGGTTCTAAAAATTCAAATATAGTAAAAAGTTAAATCACAAAAATACTGAACCCAGAGGAAAATACAAAACGGAAAGTCCCTAATCAAATGGCAAAATCAAAAGCACAAACACATCAAACGAATGGACAACAACTGTCATATTCCTGACTTGGTACAGGCATTTTCTTATGTAGAAAATGGTGGATTGAACCTGGTTTTATAGCGTTAACCCTCTCACTTGTATGACAGTTGCATCAAATTCCATTATATTGACAACGATGCGTGAATAAAACAAACAGACATAAAAATATATTTGGTATAAGGGCCAATTGGATTCTATATCCTATGTCTCTTTAATTCTTTTAGATTTGTATCCGTGTTGCAGCAAAACAACAGAATTAGGAACTTCCAAAATTAACAATTTCTTTTCTTCTATTCGAATTCTATATTTGTAGTAATTTAATCATTTCATGCTAGTCTGCTTGACTGACTTATACGTATTGGTACTTCGAGTAAACCGTGTATGTGTTCTCACATCTACCATGTCGGATTTCTTTGTCCATCTACAGCATGATGTCATGATAACCTTGTATTCATTCTTGAAATTTTCCTAAAAAATATGAGAAAAACTACTAACTAAGAAATAAAACCGATGATACAACTTAATAAAAGCTACATCTGTTTTTTAATGATAAATAAGATATCTTTGAAAAACATAAAAAAAACCTCAAGGACATACAATTATTGTTGTAGACGAACTCGTATTAAATTTTGAAAAATCTTTTACAGCTAAAGTTCCTGTTGGCATATTTGCCGGTTTTCATCACAATTTGATAAGTTAAGAATAAATCTTATGTAGTGTGATCACCTGGAAAGATTCTGCGTCATTAAGAAATCAATATAGCTGTCTACGAGACCAAATGTGTTATAATTATTTGAATTTAGGTACTGTTCTAACTTAAAGACAATTTTGACATTAATGACCAACATTTTTTGATATTTTGCCTTTGTAATACTGATGCAATAAATTGAAAAACATTTCAACCACTGCTTGAAAAAAGGGGGTGGTGTATTAAGGGGACTTTTTGGCCTTTTTAACTTTTTTTATTCGAGCGTCACTGATGAGTCTTTTGTAGACGAAACGAGCGTCTGGCGCAAGTACAAAATTTCAATCCTGGTATTTATGATGATTTTAATTAAAACTCGTGTTTTAAATAGAAACTGACAAGGACAAGGACAAGGACAAGGACAAGGACAAGGACAAGGACAACGAAAAGGACAAGGACAAGGACAAGGACAAGGACAAGGAAAACGACAAGGACAAGGACACGGACAAGAACAACGAAAAGGACAACGACAAGGACAACGACAAGGACAAGGACACGGACAAGAACAACGAAAAGGACAAGGACAAGGACAAGGACAAGGACAAGGACAGGGACAAGGAAAACGACAAAGACAAAGACACGGACAAGGACAACGAAAAGGACAATGACAAGGACAAGGACAAGGACAAGGACAACGACTAGGACAAGGACAAGGACAACGACTATGACAAGGACAACGACAACGACTATGACAAGGACAACGACAACGACTAGGACAACGACAACGACTAGGACAAGGACAACGACTAGGACAAGGACAAGGACACGGACACGGACAAGGACAAGGACAAGGACAAGGACAAGGACAACGACAACGACAACGACTAGGATACGGACAAGGACAAGGACAAGGACAAAGCCAAGGACAAGGAAAGGACAAGGACAACAACGACAAGGACAAGGACAAGGACACGGACAAGGACAAGGACAACAACGACAAGGACAACGACAAGGACAAGGACACGGACACGGAAAAGGACAACGACAACAACAACAACAACGACAAGGACAAGGACAAGGACAACGACTAGGACAAAGACAAGGACAACGACAAGGACAAGGACAAGGACAAGGACAACGACAACATCAACGACACGGACACGGACAAGGACAAGGACAACGACAACGACAAGGACAAGGACAACGACAACGACAACATCAACGACACGGACAAGGACAAGGACAACGACAACATCAACGACACGGACACGGACAAGGACAAGGACAACGACAACGACTAGGACAAGGACAACGACAACGACTAGGACAAGGACAACGACAACGACTAGGACAAGGACAACGACAACGACTAGGACAAGGACAAGGACGAGGACAACGACAACGACACGGACACGGACAAGGACAAGGACAACGACAACGACTAGGACAAGGACAACGACAACGACTAGGACAAGGACAAGGACAACGACAACGACTAGGACAAGGACAACGACAACGACTAGGACAAGGACAACGACTAGGACAAGGACAACGACAACGACTAGGACAAGGACAAGGACAAGGACAACGACTAGGACAACGACAACGACTAGGACAAGGACAACGACAACGACAAGGGCACGGACAAGGACAAGGACAAGGACAACGACTAGGACAAGGACAAGGACACGGACACGGACAAGGACAAGGACAAGGACAAGGACAACGACAACGACAACGACAACGACTAGGACACGGACAAGGACAAGGACAAGGACAAAGACAAGGACAAGGAAAGGACAAGGACAAGGACAACAACGACAAGGACAAGGACAAGGACACGGACAAGGACAAGGACAACAACGACAAGGACAACGACAAGGACAAGGACACGGACACGGAAAAGGACAACGAAAACAACAACAACAACGACAAGGACAAGGACAAGGACAACGACTAGGACAAGGACAAGGACAACGACAACGACAAGGACAAGGACAAGGACAACGACAACATCAACGACACGGACACGGACAAGGACAAGGACAACGACAAGGACAAGGACAAGGACAACGACAACGACAACATCAACGACACGGACAAGGACAAGGACAAGGACAACGACAACATCAACGACACGGACACGGACAAGGACAAGGACAACGACAACGACAACGACAAGGACAAGGACAACGACAACATCAACGACACGGACACGGACAAGGACAAGGACAAGGACAACGACACGGACAAGGACAACGACAAGGACACGGACAAGGACAACGACACGGACAAGGACAACGACAACATCAACGACACGGACACGGACAAAGACAAGGACAACGACAAGGACAAGGACAAGGACAAGGACAAGGACAAGGACACGGACAAGGACAAGGACAACGACACGGACAAGGACAAGGACAAGGACAAGGACAACGACAAGGACACGGACAAGGAAAACGACACGGACAAGGACAACGACAACATCAACGACACGGACACGGACAAGGACACGGACAAGGACAACGACAAGGACACGGACAAGGACAAGGACAACGACAACGACAAGGACAAGGACAACGACAAGGACACGGACAAGGACAAGGACAACGACAACGACACGGACACGGACAAGGACAAGGACAACGACAACGACAACGACAAGGACAAGGACAAGGACAACGACAACGACAACGACACGGACACGGACAAGGACACGGACAAGGACAACGACAAGGACACGGACAAGGACAAGGACAACGACAAGGACAAGGACAAGGACAAGGACAAGGACAAGGACAACGACAACGACAAGGACACGGACAAGGACAAGGACAACGACAACGACACGGACAAGGACAACGACAAGGACAACGACAAGGACAACGACAACGACAACGACACGGACACGGACAAGGACACGGACAAGGACAACGACAAGGACAAGGACAAGGACAAGGACAACGACAACGACAAGGACAAGGACACGGACAACGACAACGACAAGGACAAGGACAACGACAAGGACACGGACAAGGACAAGGACAACGACAACGACACGGACACGGACAAGGACAAGGACAACGACAACGACAAGGACAAGGACAAGGACAACGACAACGACAACGACACGGACAAGGACAAGGACACGGACAAGGACAAGGTCAAGGACAAGGACAACGACAACGACAAGGACAACGCCAACGACAAGGCGAAAACGAAAGACGACGAAAAGACAAATACAAAGACATATTTTACAAAACAATACTGTTAACCAACTAATTTTCGCGAGCGATTTATTTTCGCGACTTTCGCGAGTAGAAAAAAACGCGAATATGAATCGGCGCGAAAATGTAAAATTTGGATCTTTCCTTATTGAATTACATCAATTTAATTAGAAAATCGCGAAATTAAATAGCCGCGAAGTGGACTAGAAAGTGTTAAACGCGAAATAAAGTATCCGCGAAAATAAGTTGGTTTACAGTACTTCGAAAACTCAGAAAGAAAAGACTCAGCACCACGAATTCAATCAAAACTTGGGGATGATCTCAAGTGCTCCGTTTCCTTATGGAGTTCATGTGATTCCTTAGATTTGTTTTCCCTTGATGTGTATATCTTTCTATCAAATGTTTGTTACGTACATATCATTGCTTTCTTAAAAAATTTCGAACAGACATCCGTGCGATGCGAAGAAAACTTCTGGAAACCTGCTTAGATAAGGCGGAAGGAAAGATAGTTTCAGCCTGTGACATTCATGTGCTTGACCCATATACTGATATACTGAACCTCGTTAGTAATTCCAAAGTCGTATGTTAACGTAGTGTTGTCATCTTGGGTTATTGTGAAGGTTGGGATAGATTTTTGATATTCTTTGGTAGTTCAATACTTATCTGGACTGAAGCGAATAAGAGCTGCGGATATTATTTTCATTTTTGTAGATTGTGCCTCTAGGTTTGGCTGTTTCGTGCGTCTGATGTAGGGTTGGTTGATGTCACATTGACCTTTACTTCTGCATTCCTTTATTCACCTCAATATTATGGACTGAACAAAAGATACAGGAGGGGACAAAACGGAAAGTTAGACAATCGGTGACCATAACAAAGAATCGTTATCTGTTAATTGACCGAGCGATGCACGGCTACGTCAAACATATTTTGCAATCAATATATATAAAATCACGTATATTTCGTTACGTTTCAAAGGACAATATCTACCGGTCTCCTTTAAACGTATATAAATCAAAGTATGCTATAGTGCACTAAACAATCATTTATTTCTAAATCATATAATGTTATTATCAACTAAAAACAACTTTAACATGGACGAAAAATATCATGTACAACCACTATATATAAAAGTCTAAATACCAAAATAATAAAAAAAAAAAAAAAAAAAAAAAACAGTAAACCCCAACGCACATAAATTGGCAGCCTAATTTTTTCACCCGAGCGTTGTTGAAAAAACAAATAAATGCGTACAGATTGCACACAGACGGAGTGAGAGCTAATGAGGAAGTATTTATCAAGTCTAAATTCACTGAAATCAATAATTCAATGAAAGAAAAACCTCATTAAAGATACAAGACTTATAGTTTTGTACACCAGACGCGCGTTTCATCTAAAATAAATTCACCAGTGATGCTCAAATAAAAAAGTTAAAGGTCAATATAAAGAACGAAGTTGGAGAGCATTGCGGACTTAAAATTCCAAAAGGTTTTTTATCAAATACAGAAGAATATATTCAATGTAGTAGACAGACGTGATAATGAGCGGAAGGAACTTGAACATTTTTAAAATTTCGAAGTGAATGTCAAAATATTCTTATGAAAACAAATAAGTAATGACAACATATATGTTTTATCAACTCCCCAGTGCCCGTATTATTTATATAAAAAAAGGAGCGATGTTTCTGTTTTATCAAAGAAGACACTTTATAAATTCCTTATTTGGGTCGAAAAAATCAAAGTCTTTTAAGAGCACCATCTTTGCAGCGTTTGTAATTCTTTCGCCATTTATGTCCTTGGAATAGTGAAATATATAAACCAAGTATCAAATAGTTGCATTTTAGTTATATGCATTAAAGAGAGCATAGATGAATTAATCGTAGTTTATTTACTGTGAGTTCATTTATTTTCGGAGATGACATTTTTTCGCATACTTGATTTCGTGATGTCGATAAATTCAGCATACACCCCTATAGGACTTTTGTATTTTGTTGCACATTTGAACTTATGGTTACCCTATACTTACAAACATTAGTAACCTACGAATAATAACGAATCGGTATGCTATCTAACAACAAATATTAAAGAAACAGAGCTTGAACTAAAAACCCATATTTCACAACTTGTCAACACGGTCAATATTTTACACTTAATGGACCTATAAAAAAGTAAAATCACAAAAATACTGAACTCCGAGGAAAATTCCAAAAGGAAAGTCCCTTATCAAATGGCAAAATCAAAAGCTCAAACACATCAAACGAATTTATCTTTGTTTTGAATGCTGAATTATCTCAGCAGTAGGATATTCTATGATGACGTAAACATTCATACTGTATACTTAGATGCAAAGCACAGATATATTCAAGTGTTTATGAAATTGCATTGAATAAATAAATAAATAAATATCTTGAGATTTTAAATGAGCATTGTTCTAAGAAAGAACCTGCATAAGACTATAACCACTATAAACAAAACGACGAACACATGTACTCACATTCAAAAGTCCATATATAAACGGATTATAGCATGCACTGCTCATAGCCAACCAATAGGAGCATAGCCAAGTAATGTTTATATACTTGAATCTAGAAAAGGAAATGAATAGTTTAATTTCAATATATCACATTACATTAACATATACAAAATTTATGATGATTTTTTAAAAGGTTAAAATAAAGACGGATGTACATTTAGGAAACCGGAAAAAAAAACATATTTGAAGCAAAATCATCGACTAAAGATACAATAAAAACAGAATATAAACATATAATTTTATTTTGTATTCACCAAATAAAAACCGTAATGTGTTTATAACAATGATATTATACAATTGAAATAAATCTGTCTTCTAAAATTTCCATTTATTTCATTTAATTACGTCTCGGTAGTTTATCTGTAACATGAGATACGAATCACAACCAACGAACACGTGAATAAATGAGTCACAAGTTGGCACTCCGAGGCGGGTGGGGAGCAAGAAGGTGAACTGTGGTTTATTTTTATCAATAGTACCGCTTAAGTCGACGCTAGGGGCCGTTTTGACCTTGTTACAGGGTATGAATGATTCGTTCATTGTTGAAGACCCTACATCAACTGTCAAGATGAAGAACAGGAATAAAAGCCCTGTTCATTGATAATTTTCTATGTTTTCAATGTATTGTGTGCGATTTTGTCCCATGTACATTTACTCCATATCCTTTCATTTTCTATCCATTTAAGGTACTAACTCTAATTGTGTTTTATCAACCGTGAAACATTTATGTAAACTCTCGTATTATATTTATATAAAGGGGTAGATATAGATATATTACGTACAGATTCATTTTATCAGCCCAGAACACGTACATAATGTTGTAGGTCTGTAAAGGCAACCAACAGAACGCAAAAAGACTAACAACGATAATCAACATCTTCACAACCTGAAACAGAAAAGCAACTTAAATTTCATTTCAGATTTTAAAAGATTTAAGAAGGAAATTATTATTGAATGCAAAAAAAAATTAAAAAAATGATAGGATATTTTAAATTTGATGCATAGTTACTTATTCAGCTGTAAAATGTCATTTGCGTACGAGAATAGCTTACTGGGGTGTGGAAAATAAATAAAAACAAAGAAGAAGAGTAAACATCCCTGAATTTATTTTACACCCTCACAATGATGTTAAGGATGTTCGCTACTCTGTTTCAAAATAATAAGCTTTTTAAAAGACTGTTATAAATTGATAGTATATAAATAAAGGAACTAAAAAAGTAGATATAAATGAAGGGTCCGTGTGCTTGTTTTCGAGATATAAGCCATTGAAAATTTGGCGGGAAATGATTCTCTCTAGATTTTTCATACATTTAACATTGGCACCTTTTTTTCTGTCTAAAAGTATGAAAAAATAACAAGGATTTAATAAGATTTTCAAAGATGGCATTTTAAACTATATTTAATCAAATTACGAAAAGAAAAGTAGGGGTTAGTGGGCAAACATTTTCAATGGCACTACATGGATAAAACCAAAGGATTCCGAATACCTGGCAAAATTCAAAAACAAGAGGAGCGAACATCCTTATGGGTAATTTGTATTGTTTGATATGTTTACTTCTTTTCTTAAAAGAGAGGCGAAAGATACCGAAGGAATATTCAAACTCATAAGTCGAAAATAAAATGATAATGCGATTGCGTAAAACTTAAAACATCGACAAGACAAACAACATTACACATACACACAGCATAAAAACTAAAGAGTGAGCAACACGAATCCAATCAAAAAGCGGGTTTAATCTCAAGTGCTCTGGAAGGTTAAACGGATCCTGCTACACATGTGACAACCGTTGTTTTGTTCATTGAAGAACAAAACCGGTGATAAGTCTATTTCGGTAGGTCGCCTTTCTTCGAGGAAAAGAGGACTGGATTGTGATTACGATAATTGAAACACACCATGTGGTCATCGGTGAAACAGTTATCCATAACG